GGTTCACACAAGTAAAAACAGGAGGGCGCCTGTTATGTCGAGGCAGCGGGAAAAACTTGTTTCTTTGTCTTCTAGCCGATTCACAAGAGAATTATTTAAGCATCCTTCTACTGCCCCGACCCGTTAATCTGACCTTGTTGAAAACTAAATTTGAGACTTTTTAACGCTGAGTCAAGTGCCGGGTAATTACAGTGCCTGATTCAGATTGGTAAAGGACTAATAACTAGGGAGGAGGGGGGAGGAGGGAGGGGGTGGGTGGGGGAGAGAGGAAGAGAGGGAGGTTAGCGGAGGTGTGACAGCTTGGTGGAGGCCAAGCAGGCAGGCAGGGAACACTGATCACCTAACTCACCACTACCTCTCTCTCTCTCCCTCTCTCCTCCTCCTCACCTTTCTATTTTTCCTCCCTCACCTTCACTTCATTCACGCCCTCACTAGGCTACATTCCCTTCCTCATCGCTACCTTCCTTGTGCTTCTAGTTTGACCTCCCTTCCACCCCCCTTCCTTCTTTCCCTCCCTCATTCTCCCTCTCTCACACCCCTACTCTCCCTCCTTCACACCCCTACTCTCCCTCCTTCACACCCCTACTCTCCCTCCTTCACACCCCCTATCTCCTTTCTTCCCACACCCCTACTCTCCCTCCCTCACACCCCAACTCTCCCTCCTTCACACCTTACTCTCCTCCTTCACACCCCTACTCTCCCTCCCTCACACACCCCTACTCTCCCTCCTTCCCCACACCCCTACTCTCCCTCCTTCCCCACCCCTACTCTCCCTCCGCCCCACCCCTACTCTCCCTCCTTCCACCTACTCTCCCTCCTTCACACCCCTACTCTCCCTCCCTGCCCCCTACTCCTCCCTCCCCTCCCCCTACTCTCCTCCTTCCCCCTACTCTCCCTCCCTCACACACCTGCTCTCCCTCCTTCACACCCCTACTCTCCTCCTTCACCCCTACTCTCCCTCCCTCCACCCCTACTCTCCCTCCCTCCACCCCTCTCTCCCTCCCTCCACCCCTCTCCCCCTCCTTCCCACACCCCCCTCTCCTCCTTCCCTCACACCCCTACTCTCCCTCCTTCACACCCCTACTCTCCCTCCTTCACACTCCTAGTCTCTCTCCCTCACTCTATTTTCCTTTTGTCTCACCAGCCAGTAACACTCTCTTCTTCACCAATCACCAACACACTCCACCTCACCAATCACCAACACTTTCTACCTCACCAATCAATGACATTTTCCACCTCACCAATCACCAACACTTTCTACCTCACCAATGAATAACACTTTCCACCTCACCAATCACCAACACTTTCCACCTCACCAAGCATTATTACTTTCTCCCTCACCAAGATAAAATAATTTCCATCATACAAAAAGCAATAATTCTTTCCACTTCACCAGACAACTCCTACACCTTCCCTCCCTCACCAATCAATAATTCGTCATATACTAATTAATAATTCCTCCCAATTAGTAATCAATAATTGTTCACACCAAGTAATAATTCCTCTCACCAAGTAATAATTCCTCTTACCAAGTAATAATTCCTCTCACCAAGTAATAATCCCTCACCCACCAAGCAATAATTCCTCTCACCAAGTAATAATTCCTCTTACCAAGCAATAGTTCCTCTCACCAAGTAATAATCCCTCACCCACCAAGCAATAATTCCTCTCACCAAGTAATAATTCCTCTCACCAAGTAATAATTCCTCTCACCAAGTAATAATTCACCTTACCAAGTAATAATTCATCTCACCAAGTAATAATCCATCACCCACCAATCAATAATTCCTCTCACCAAATAATAATTCCTCTCACCAAATAATAATTCCTTTCACCAAGTAATAATTCCTCTCACCAAGTAATAATCCATCACCCGCCAAGCAATAATTCCTCTCACCAAGTAATAATTCCTCTCACCAAGTAATAATTCCTCTCACCAAGTAATAATTCCTCTCACCAAATAATAATTCCTTTCACCAAGTAATATTCATCTCACCAAGTAATAATCCATCACCCACCAATCAATAATTCCTCTCACCAAATAATTCCTCTCCCAAATAATAATTCCTTTCACCAAGTAATAATTCCTCTCACCAAGTAATAATCCATCACCCAAGCATATTCCTCACCAATAATATTCCTCTCACCAAGTATAATTCTCTCACAAATATAATTCTCTCACCAAATAATAATTCCTTTCACCAAGTATAATTCTCTCACCAAGTAATAATCCATCACCCACAAAGCAATAATTCCTCTCACCAATTCCTCCGTAATATTCCTCTCACCAAGTAAATTCCTCTCACCGTATATTCACTCACCATGTAATAATAAATCACCCAGCTAATATTACTCTCACCAAGTATAATTCCTCTCCAAGTAATAATTCCTCTCACCGTAATAATTCCTATCACCAAGTAATAATTCCTTCTCACCAAGTAATAATTCCTTTCACCAAGTATAATTACTCTCACCAAGTAATAATCCATCACCCACCAAGCAATAATTCCTCTCACCAAGTAATAATTCTCTCACCAAATAATTCTCTCACCAAGTAATAATCCATCACACAAGCAATAATTCCTCTCACCAAATAATTCACTCTGCAAGTAATTCCTCTCACCAAGTAATAATTCCTCTCAGTATAATTCCTTTCACCAAGTAATAATTCTCTCACCAAGTAATCCATCACCCAGCAATAATTCTCTCACCAAGTAAATTCACTCTCCCAAGTAATAATCCATCCCACAAGCAATAATTGTCTCACCAAGCAATAATTCCTTTCACCAGTAATAATTCCCTTCACCAAGTAATAATCCATAACCCCACCAGCATGCTCCTCTCCACCAAAATTAATTCCTCTCACCGTAATAATCCATCACCCACCAGCAATAATTCCTCTCACCAAGCATAATAGTACTCTCCAAGTATCCATCACCCACAACAATATTGCTCTCACCGTAATAATTCTCTCTAAATGTAATTACCTCTCACCCATGTAATCCCTCACCCCCGCAATATTCCTCTCACCAAGTAATTCCTCTCACCAAGTATCCTCACCCGCCAAACATAATTCCTCTCACCAAGTAATAATCCTCACCCATCATCAATACTTTCTCTGCCATCCACATTTCCACACTCCCAAGTATTGCAACAGTCTGATTCAGAGTGGTAATTACCGACTCACCTGTTCTCACCTGTTGCCTGCCCCCATCACATCTGCTTACCACCAACGACCACTTCCAGTATCCTTTCCTGCAAAACATAGCATGTGCACGTCCCCACTTCCACCTACAATACACGCAAATGATTTCGCCATAATGTGCTATCATCTCACAATCACCTGACCAGCACCATCACTTCCATCACCTCCACCCCCATCACCTCCACCCCACCATCTCCACCACCTCACCTCCCACCCCTCCACCCCCACCATCACCTCCACCCCATCACCTCCCACCCCACCATCACCTCCACCACCACCCTCCCCACCATCACCTCCATCCCCATCACCTCCCACCCACCATCCCCCACACCATCACCCCCACCATCACCCCTGCATCACCTCCCCCATCACATCCATCATTTCCATCACCTCCACCACCATCACCTCCACCCCACCATCACCTCCACCCCACCATCACCTCCACCCCACCATCACCTCCACCACCATCACCTCCCACCCACCATCCTCCACCTGCCTCCACCTCCCACCATCACCTCCACCCATCACCTCCACCACAACATCACCACCACCACACCATCACCTCCACCACACCATCACCTCCACCACACCATCACCACACCATCACCCCACCATCACCTCCCACCACCATCACCTCCCACCCACCATCACCTCCACCCACCATCACCCTCCACCACACCATCACCTCCACCCACCATCACCTCCACCACACCATCACCTCACCCACCATCACCTCA